TACAACCTGTGAGGATTTCATGCTCTGATTGAACAGCACAGTGAGTTATGGAACATATAAAGGGCTGCAGGGAAGGCCCCCATAGGCCTTCTCTCCCAAATCAACCTAAATGGCTCCTTGTAATCATTTTGGGTATGATGTTTAGGTTTCCTTCTCTCTCTCTCTTTCCCGCCCTCCCTCCCTCTATCAATTAGATTCTAATTTTTTGCTTATATGTTCCTTAAAATAAATTTGAGAAATTGTCCTGTCAACATTTTTAACTTGGTATCTAAATTTTTTTGTAAGATAAAACAGATGCAAAGGGTATAATTTTCAGCATATTACAGACATTGGCATGTTAAAATAAAACAGTTGTAACACTATTTTAAATGTATTCAACAGAATACATCACAGAATCTATACACACAATCACACATACACATACACACTCACTCTCACACATACATGTGCATGCATGCATACACACACATTTCTTGGAGAGTCGTCTTACACCTATGCCCCAGCAAACTTTGAAGAATGCTTCCATAGGCCTCTTTCTCTGCTGCCTTATATATTCTTTGTGGTACCCAGTAACTGTGTGCCAGAACTTGGCTAAACACTTTACATGTATCATTTCTTTTAATCCTTAGCAACCCTTTGAAGTCAGTACTGTTTTCTGCATTTTACTGCATTTTACTTATGAAGAAAATGAGGCTAAGAGAAGAGGTTTGAATCCAGGTCTTTCTGACTTCATACCCTCTACTCTTAACTGCTGCTACTTTATACTTAAAATTCACTGCAACTGAGGGATTTTAGTGTTAAAATCAACATGGAACACCTTAAAGAGAATATATAACTCCTAGAACTCCCCAAACTGCTTTGCTTTTCTCCACAGCACTTACCAATATCTGATAGACTGTATATTTTATTTATTATTAAGCCTACCTGCTCCCCCAGCCCAGAATATAGGCTTCAGGAATATAGGGATTTCATCTCTTTTGTTCAATGCAATTTTCTCAGTGCCTAAAACAGTACTCAATAAATATTTGTTGAATAATGAACTAGACTTGTTGTTATAAAGCCATTAGGATTCTAAGAGACTCTAGACATACTACATGCTACATGCTCTGATCAGCCTTCCTGGCTTTATTATAAGTAGACAGCAGTATGAGGTATAGATCAACAATCTACTGTGTTTGGAGTGAAGGATTTTTATGTGCCAGTCAGTATCAAGAAAAGAAGGGTCTAATGACACACCTAAAGTGCATTTATTTATTTATTTATTTGCCTCATTCAAGTTACCAAGGAGAACAGAGAGTCAGGTAGCTTTGTTGTAGGGCTATGATAGGGATGCCATCTTTGAGCCATCACAGTGAGGGCTAGGAGTTTGGGCTATTCATGGCATGCTTGGAAGTTTGGTGGCTAGGGCCTCCCAGAAATCTCCCAGGGCTGAAGAGCCTTATTGTAATATTTTGGAGTATATTAGTTTGTATAGTTTTCTTAATGTTTGAGTATGTATATATAATTTATCACAGTCTACTGATATCAGTGTTTTACCAATCTAAGTACAGAAACTTTTCATTTAGGTTTTCTTGTCCTCCCCACTTTTAAATATCGTTGTCTTGAGTATCAGATGGTGTTAGAATTTTTGTGCCAATTGTCATATATAATTCAGAAAATTCATGAAGATGATAGTATATTGTATTTACCCATATTTCTGCATTTTCCATTGTTCTTTCTTCCTTCCTTAATGATGCAAGATTCCTTCCTTTATTATTTCTTTTGTAATATGTTCTTTAGCCATTCTTTAAGAGTAAATCTGGCTAAATGACAAAATCTTTTAGTTTTCCTTCATGTGGGAATTTTTTTATTTTCCCTTAAATCCCTAGGTATAGTTTCCACAGATATAGAATTTGCAGTTGACAGTAATTTTCTTTCTTTTCTTTCTTGAAAAATTGTGTGCTACTTCTGGCCTCTGTTGTTTCAGATGAGAAATCTGTTGTCTTTTGAATTGGTATCCCTCTATAGGTAATGTCTTGTTTCTCTCTGGCTGCTTTCAAGATATTTTCTTTGTCTTTAGTTTTCAGAAATATAATTATGATGTGTCTGGGCATGGATTTCTTTGGATTTATCCTTTTTGGAATTCACTTAGCTGCTTGATCTGTGAATTTATATGTTTTGTTATATTTGGGAAATTTACAGTCATTATTTCTTTGAATACTCTTTCAGGCCCACTCTCTTTCTCCCCTTCTAGGACACCAGTTCTACTCTTTTGCTATGGTCTTATAGGTTCCTGAGGTTCTGTTTGTTCGTTTTCAGTTTATTTTCTCTCTTTTGTTCAGATTGGGTTAATTCTATGGATCTGTCCTCAACTTCACTGATTCTATCCTGTCAGTTGCACTCTACTATTGAGCTCTTCAAGGTATTTTTATTATTTCTGTTTATTTTTCAGTCCTATAATTTCTATTGGTTCTGTTTTGTAATTCCTATTTCTCTGCTGAAATTTTCTATTTTTTTCACTTGTTTCAAAAGAGTTTGTAATTGTTTGTTGAATTTTTCTTATGATAGTTACTTGTCAGATAATTCTAGTACCTGGTTCATCTCAGTGTGAGACTCAAAGGATTATCTTTTCTCATTCAAGTTGCAATTTTCTTGCTTGTTGTTTTTTTGTATGATAAGTGATTTTAATTGTATCTGGGCATTTTGGCTATTAGGAGACTCTGGGTCCTACTTAAATTTTTTATTTTTACAGCTATTTACTCTGTTTAGATTTAGCATATTGGTCATAGGCTCCTTTTGTGGGCTGTGGCTCCAATGACAGTCTAATTTTCAGAGCCTTGATGGTACTGTGTTTGTCTTCTTTGTCTCCTTTTCTGAGGCCCCACTGGTACTTGTTGGTATTAGCTGAGAAAGTAGAAGGAGCTTCCCAGGTTGAGTGGCTTGGTGCCATTATGTGGAGGAAGGAAATCTCCAGGCTACAGAGACAAAAAGCAATTTTGGGGCTGGGTGCTTGTTGTGGAAGAATCCCACTTGCTAATTTCCCCTGTCAGGTGGAGTCTGGGTGGGAGAGAGGAGTCTCAGACTGGTGGGAAAGTTCTCTGGTAGGTTACTGTTAGGGGAACATTCAGTTGGTTCTTCTTGCTATTCTTCTGGGCTTGTCTAGAGTTGTTGGCAGGACTCTTGCTCAGTTCGGAGGAAGAATAAGGCTATCTGGCTGCCTTCTCTTGCTAGACTGGGCGTCAGGACAGGCTGGGCCTGGGTTACATTCTCTTGGATGGAGAATCATAACATGCCCTGCCACTGTGTTGTTCCCTTGGTCCTCTGGTCCCTAACTAATTCATCTTCCTCTTTCTACCTTTTAGGGTTCTTCTTTAGTTGTCTCTTGTGTTATTTCCAAGGCTTTTAGTCATGCTTGACAGGAAGGGGCAGAGAGAAACAAGTCTACACCATTTTGCTCAGATCAGAAGGTCTCTATATAAGCTTATATAGGCCTAAAATCTCTCTGGAAGGTACACAAAAAATTGTCTTCCCTGAGGAGGGACACTGGGGAATATGAGGTAGGAGGGAAACTTTTTTTTGTATATGTGTTTGCATGTTCTCATTTTAATCAGGTGACTATATTAGCCGTTCAAAAATAAAAATAAAATGTAAAAGAAGAAATCTAATTCAGCCTTGCTTTCAAGAGCACAACCAAGGATTACAACATTGGTCAAGTAGAGTATGGATTCAACAATTTGTAATTTTATTAAATTTCACTGACTTTTAATTTCACTATATTGTGACTGCTTTGATCCAGATCTCTGAATATAAGAATAATGTTCTCAGTGGATTTTCAGCCTGCTCATATATTTTGAATAACTTGCAGAATACAAATGTGTAATTTAGATAGAAGTAGATGCTTTTGGCAGCATACTAGCACCCTAATCAGCTGAAAAAAATGATATTTGTATGACATTAAAACAAAATTAATAGCAAGACACTGATTACATGAAAAGATTTTAGGTTGTAATTATTAAACTTGCAAACAACTCAGCATAATTAGTGCCTTAATTAGGATATGGTCTGAAATTTTAGCTTACAAAATTAATTGAGGCAATTAAAAGTCACATTTGTAAAGTGGATTTTAAAGCTTACAAGGTAGTTAGATATCACTTTTTTTCTCATTTTGGGAAGCATCTTTATAGGTAGAGTAAGCTTGCAGTGCAATTACTTTGATTCCAAACCCCCATTTCCAGCACAGTGTCTAAGCCTGAAGCCTTAAGAATCAAGTTTAGTAACTTTCAGCCAAGGGTATCTACACACAGAAGGTTGAGCAGCTCCCAGGCATACTCCTAAATAACTCTGGGGAGCAATGAAACAGCAAAGACTTTCTGTCCCCAGAACCTTAATTGAAATATAAACTAAAAGATTGATAGTGACTTTGGATCAAGCTCCTTGACCATTTTCACAGAACTATTTGGATCCAAATGGCAATTTTCACCTCTGTCATTTATTCTTCACACACTTCTTGAAGGCATTAAAACTCCTGGTCATTCTCAGTGATCTGTGTCTTTCTTTCTCTGACACTGCAGGCCTAGAACACAGGCTTCCTTTTCCTAAGGCCCAAAATCATGAGAGCATTCTTTTAGAAAGTCAGTGTCGGGTGCCTGGGTGGCTCAGTTGGTTGGGCGACTGCCTTCGGCTCAGGTCATGATCCTGGAGTCCCTGGATCGAGTCCTGCATTGGGCTCCCTGCTCGGCGGGGAGTCTGCTTTGCCCTCTGACCCTATCCCCTCTCATGTGTTCTCTCTCATTCTCTCTCTCTCAAATAAATAAATAAAATCTTTAAAAAAAAAAAAAAAAAGAAAGTCAGTGTCATACTTGTCTATTCCTAACTGCCTATGTTGTGGAACAGGGAACATGAGGTTCAAAACTCCAATTACTTGGTCTTGGCAAGAAGCTTATGTCTTTAATTGGGGGCACTTGCCTATCACAAAATATCACTAGTAGTACAAGAATGTCATCATTGAACTTTCTCTGTACCTGTAGGTTTTCTTAATTTCTTCATTTGATGCTCCCTTATGCAGACCAAGAATTTCATATAGAGCTTCTCCAGATGTAGACAAAGTCCGCTGTCTTTGGTTAGGTATGTTACATGCCATTTTCTCAGGCTGCAAAAGCAAAGAGGGGAAATAGCCATGAAGGTTATGCATACTGGGTCCCACTCTCTGAAAAGAAAGACAGTTTATCTTTAACCTTTTGTAAATGACAATCTGAAGTACATTTTTATGTCAGCCACAAAAGGAGAGGAGAAAAGGTTTAGGAGAGCCAAAAGTAGAGCTTCATGTCAGGGTGTTAAAGGTTACAAGCAGTCATGTAAATGGAGTATGGCTTTGTCCACATGGTTATATAGAAATGAAATGTTAAATAAATACCCAGCTAATTCAGAATTGTTGAAAATGAATCCTCACAGGTCAGCATATGTAGATTCTTTTTTTTTTTTTTTTAAAGATTTTATTTATTTATTCGACAGAGAGAACACAAGCAGGGGGAGTGGGAGAGGGAGAAGCAGGCTTTCCGCCGAGCAGAGAGCCCGATGCGGGGCTCGATCCCAGGACTCTGGGATCATGACCTGAGCTGAAGGCAGACGCTTAATGACTGAGCCACCCAGGCACCCCCAATGTAGATTCTTTTTTGCCAGAATTTGAACAGCTCCTTTTATGTATATTTTCCGAATTTAGCTAGCAGTGGAAATAATCTTCCATTTTACTTTGATTCTATTGGTTTTAGGATGGCTTAGGATGTCTTTAGAGAGATACTCATGTTCAACACAGGGAATCCTTGGTGACAACGGTGGCAGCAGCTGAACTGGATGGGCACATCCCAGTGGTGGATGGGGTCAAATGGAGCTGATCACCCAACTCTGTTCTCACCAGGCTAATGACCAAACCAACATAAGCAAGAACAGAGCCCCCAGATGTCGACTGGTGGGTCAGGATGGCCTTAGAGGTCCCTGAGGCCCCAGTGTGGTACTGTGAGTGTTTGTGGTCCTAAGGAATTCAATAAACAGCAACAATATGAGGAATTCCAAAGTATTTTTGTGCGCCTTTATCTTCTTGGGGGAAGAAAAGCAAAACTTTGAAGAGTACTGAAAAAATCAGACCTGGGCAAAAATCTTGCCTAAAGGTGCCAAGGACAAGGGCTTATTTTATGGCATGGCTTCACTGTCCCTTCCTCAATCAGCCTCCTGTGAAAGTAGTGTCCCTGGAGGCCAGAAGGACCCCAGTCCCAAATTCCTGGTTCACACAAGGATAAGAGGAGAAGGAATCTGATTTTGCCTGCCACAAAACAAACTCTAATGTGCATACTGACTAGCAGCCGTTCAGTAAATTGTGGCACTTAACACTCATTACTGCTCTAACTTACTTTTCTTGCCTACCCATCACAACTTCCCTAGGGAGTAAGCAATTCAAGGCCTGGGGTATGCCATTCATCTATGTGTTCCAGTCCTACAGGTGAGCCCTATCTTGAAACCACAGCCCAGCTGATTATTCACAGTTGAAGGAAGACGTGCCTGAAAAACTGACACCCTCCCTACTTCCTTCCCTGTCCCCTCTGTCCTACTGCCACCACACACACAAGTGCTCAAGATACTGATGCCCTGCACCATACATCCACCTATGGTTCCCAGGAATGGAGGCAACCAGCCGATTTCTCACAAGTCATACTAAATGCCACAAGTGGGTGGAGTTTGGAAGATAGGGATTTCTGTGTGGCTTTGTGGACAAGGAATAGGACCACAGTCTCTCTGAGATTTTAAGATGTCACTGGTTAGCAAGATCCCGAGTCACAAACTAAGAATTTATCAACATAATGATTCAAATTTTAGGACTGTAAGATATGGAGTTAGGGGTTATATAAGCCAGCTTAACAAATGCCTTTTGGGAAATTTGGGCCATAGATCATTGTAGCGGACCACTTTACTATTAGCTCTCCTTTTTCTGGGGAATGCTCAAGTTCCTGTTGCAACATATGCCTTTCCTGACAGCTGCTTCAGTCTTACTTGATCTCAGTTGAGGAGAGCAAGAGTAGGTACCAAGGCAGACCAATAAGAGTCCTTCCCTAGCATTTTTTTTATATACAGAACAATCTTACAGATGGTAAAACCAGTAAAATGTAAGATTGAGGTATTATTGGCTGGCCTGAAATGAGAGAGTTTGAAACTGATCCATAGAAGAGGAGCAGTGGCTGAAAGATGGGAGAGAGAGACCCAGTAGAGTTCAGTCTTCTGGTTCCAGTTTTTTCAGAGGTGCGCTTGCAACTCTTCCCCTCCCACAGCTTGTCAATCAACTTTTCCTTGGATTTAGCCAATAAAATTCCTCTCCATACACAAATTTACACATGTTTTTTCTTTTGAGCATATTTTAGCTAGGTTTTGGTCTTTGTTAACCAGAACTCCTAAGTGTCATATACTCTTTCAATTAAACACCACCAGTGGTTCCCCAAGCACTTCCAAGCCAGGCTAATCTTAAATTATTGCATCTACTTATCCTTTAAGTTGAGTGTAGCTTCCTGGTACTTGGAAATGAATACTTTGCGGAAATAACAATGATATACTAAGATATTCAAACAAATTTATTCAGGTGTATTGTATAGACATTATCAGTACAGATAAAAGGAGCAGCGATAAATCTGGGTTAAGGCACTTTCATAACAAAAGTTTATGGAGAGTTATTCAGGAGAACTAAGAAGAAATGGAAGTATGGCAAATAGTTATCTTTGCTTTATCTATTTATCTATATTCAGCATTCCAAAGAAACAGTTTCAATTTGAGGGGAAGAAATATATTTACTCTTCATCTATTTCTTGAAATAAGAGATACCATGGCTCCCATAAATCAACAGATGTCCTAAAATCAATTTTAACAAGTCGTAGACATGCACAGTTTCCACAGTTTTGAGCATCATGCTCCATGACCAGCTTTGATTCTTTCCTACTCGGGATCTTGCTATCACTAATCCAGGAAAAGGATTTACACGTTACTGAAGATAATCTGCTAAACAGATTATGGTAATACCCACAGCAGAAAATTCAATTATTTATTCAAAGCCTGCAATGCAGGCCAAGTCTTCTGGGAGATTTCAGACTAATATGAGATACAAAACTATAAGCCAATAATGAAACTACTGTTTAGAGGTTAAACACGTACTGAGGATAGAGCGAGAAGGAATTTTCTGGAGGGCAGAGATTCTGTTTTGTGCCACCAGAAGCCCAACATTGTACCTAGGATGTATTAGGTGTATGATAAATGTCTGTTGGGTAATTAAATCAAAACTGAGTGGTTAACTTGAATGGGGATGTTAGGGAGAACTTCACAGAAAAGATGAAATCTGGACTGATAATAATACAACCACTTATTTCTGTAGAACTTGGCACATATTTCTATTACAGCCCTTGTATCTAAGCCTAACCTTGGATCTGCATAGATGTGGTAGCCAGTGACTCTCTTGATCATTTGTTTGCATAAATCAAAAGAAAAGAAGACTTTTGGGCTTGGGGGCTGAAAGAGGAGGGAGGACATTCTCACATTGTGACTGGAACTTTTTTTTCCCGAGGCACCCCCTTCAAAGTTATCCAGGTATAGAACAAGAGAGATGGGGTCAGTTGGGGGGCTACCCTCAATCCTTTCCACAGAATAGTCATGGAAACTGCCTAGGACTTATCCTTCCCTACCCCTTGGCCATACCTCTACACATTCCTCTTCCCAATGGAAAAAAGGCAGGCAGATTCCATCTCTCAAATAGTTTCATACATAGAAACTCACACCCAGGAAAACATGGTAGGTAGCTTGCTATTACTTTGGTTTATGTATTTTTTCAAATCATCTCTTTTAGAAATCCAATCACACTGTAATCCATTCCTGCTGAATAAAATCCGGTAGCTGACTTGCTTTATGGTGTGGATTGAACAATATGCAGAGTGAGTTGTTACAAAGAATTTGTAAATTACTGTTTCACCTTCTTTGCTCTATTCCCAAAAGATTTCCTTTCAAACAGATAAAGTCTGTTAAAGACAAAAAAAAAAAAAAAAAGCCCTTTTATATCACCACTGGAACACAAGATAAAGATAGTTGGTCAATAGTTGGTCAGTGTGGTTAGTTGTTGGCTGATTCTACAGACTGAAACATAAAGGGACCAGAAAACTGTAGAATTGCTCTCTATACATCAAACACCAACAATGTGCTTCCTTTTCTGTCTCCTTACTGATAAAAGAAACCAGACTCTTCATACATTATTGATGTAGATGACATTTAGTTTCAAATTCAATGGCGTAATACATTGAAACTTTTAGTCGTTTTAATATATAAAAATAGATATGTGCCCTGAGAACATACTAATTACAGAGTAATAGTCAAAATGTCTTCTAAAAACTCTCCTTAAATAACCTTAAACTAAATACTAAATAATGGAGCCATACTCTTTTTTAATTCCTTATATAAAATATAATCTTTATGAATTCTTTTTCTGTAGCCTTTTGAATTCTAATATTCCTATGTAAAATTCAAGTCTTTATTATTTATTCATAGTCCCTCATCTATAAGCCATCCAATGGAGAAAAAAAATGTTGTCATGCAAAATTATTAGTAGTTTAATTTTGATCATCCAGTATAGGTTACTTAATCTTCTGAACTCAAATTACTTTTTGGTACATTACAATGTCATTAATATCATTTCTTAAAGCACTGACAACTATACCGTCACTACTAAAACATCTATAGCTCACCTGTCTTTTGATAACAGATATGATTGAAAGAAGGTTCAGCAGTCTGGTGATGATGGACATCCAATTCAAAATAAACACTTATTTAAAGATTCTAACTCCAGGAGTCTTACAAATGCTTAAATTTTTCATCTTGACATAAAATGTTCCTTTCAAAGCAAAAAAAAAAAAAGCTTCACCTATTTCTATTATGTGAATTCTCAAAAATGGAAAAAAATCAAACTATACCTTTCTTGAAAGGTTTTCTTCAAGACTCAGAAAATGAATGTGGGCAAGGGAAATTAGATCATTAAACACAGCAAAAACACTTTCAGTGGCTGTCACTGGGGAAACCAACATGCTTTACCATTTTATTACTTCTGTGATTCCTCCATTGAAATCTATTTAGTGAAGCAAAATTTCCTTATCCGAATAACATTGTATCTTAAAGCTAAGCACACATCCAAAATGCTAATCCTATGTTTAAAAGTAATAATTCTCCCTAGCATAATTACTCATTACTTTGACACTTATATAAATAGCAACTTGAAGATAGGAAAACTTGTAAATGTTACAAATAACCCACAGTACCTGTTCCTGTAACTCCGATTCAGTGTTCTCAAAACAGGAGCAATTTGCTGTTTTTAACTGGTCTGGAAATAGATGTGCAAAGAAATAAAGGAAGGCAACAATGAAAGGAGCAATTCCATACCTGTTCCACTGTTTCAAAGCAAAAGGCTACTCCTTTCCATTGTTCTGATCCAGGGTAAACAGGTCAGTGGAGTCAGATTACTTCTCATTTGTTAC